TGTTTATCATTAATACTGTTCACACACTCATTACTAAACTTACTAAAAGCAAGGGTAATTCAGTTTTCCATGATATGGGCCCTTTAAATATACACACAGGGACTCTGGGGTCGGAGAGTAAAAGAGTAAAAGCTGGCAGAGTGCACTGGACGCCTCAGGCTGCCCATCAAAAGCTACTGACCTCACTGAGCTCTGGGATAAAACGACCATCTTTAGCTTCACCATGAACAAACTGACTCACAGCGCAGCCTCCTCACTCCTGCACATATCAAACAGGTCGTCATCAGTGATGCTCGGTCTGTTTTCAGTCTCAGCACTGCTGCTGCTTTATCTGGGGCAAAATCAGGAGCTATTCACAGCCACACACAGCCACACTGCGTTTTTCTTTGACGGCAATTAGTTTCTACTGTCCTCTTTTTCTCCACAACAACAGCCGCTGCATTGACTGTGTAATTATCGAAACAGCTTGTAATTACAGTTTTATATGCTATCTAATCATAACCTTTGGCCTTACCACATAAAACATAGCGTAACTTCACTTTTGAGATACTCAACAGTGCATTTTTTCTCCTTGATCTGAATCCTTTAGCCCTCTATTGCATGCATTAGGATAGCAAAGCATTAAGTAAAAAAAAAAAAATTGCTTCTATAAAATGGGCCTGTTATTTAAAATTAGAATTAAAAAAATAATAATAATACATGCTGGGCAACTTTTGGGGTTTGTTGCCTTGAGGCAACATTGTACAGCAATGGAAATAAATTATAAAATTTTATATATATTATTATTATTATTATTATTATTATTATTATTATTTACTTTATACAATATTTGGAATTAAACTGGATTTTTTTTTTTTACTTTACACAGCGCTTGGAATGAAACTGGGTAACTACACAATTTGTTGATAAATACTATAAATACTAAAATCATGAGAATAATTTCTCAGTGAATGTCACAAAATTGTCTACAATTAAATCATGAAAAAAATAAAATATTGATTGTTGGTACAGAAAATCAGAGAAAAATGATTTATGAAGACTTGGTTCTTTAGCTTCATAAACCAAACCTGAAGTAGGAAACCTGGGTGTGATCTTAGACTCTGGGCTCTGTTTTATCTGCATGTAAACAAAGACACTGAAGCAGCTTTTTATCATGTAAGTTCGGCCTTTTCTCTCTCAGAGCGACGCAGAGAAACTTGCATTTGTTACAGCAGAGTTGATCACTGTAATGATCTTCTTACTGAACTTACTAAGAAAACAGTACATCCTTTACAACTCGTACAAAACAGTTCATTTTTTTTAGTTATTCTGCTCCTAAACTGTGGAGCTCAGTTCACCTTTTATTAGACAGTCAAGCTCAGAGGTCACTTTTAAGAAGCATCTAAAAATGTATCTCTTTAACTCAGCATGTAATTAAAACTCTATATCTTGTGGTTTTTATCTTTAAATTTGATCTGTGACATTTTCTTCTGACTCTAAATAAATACTTGTAATTTCTTGTGTTACTGTTAAGCTTTACATTGATTGAAAGAATCATTCATTCAAATTTAAGTTAAATAAAACTAGTTAATTTTCTTGTTACCACATTAACTTTTTTTTTTAGGTTGATCTGATGAGCCATTTTTACAGTGTGAGGGAGACACAGTGTCTGGTGCATCTAAGCTGCACTGTGCCAAAAATGGCCACCAGGAGATAATGTGACCAAATATGAGTGTTAAATATCATTTATTCAAACTCTTCTCTTCATCATTAACCCTTCATTATTACTGATTATTTCATTATTGATGCAACATTGTACAATAGAGGGTGAATATTAAGCAGCTGCTGATGCAAAATATTTATTTTCCTAGATAATACAGCTTAACTGTGCTGCGAAAGAAAAAGGTGCACTAAAATCAATTAGATTTATGTAATATGTGCCTGGTTGCCAATTAATTTTAAGTGTGGCAGTAAAGTGACTTCACTTTTAATATTTGTTTAATTTTGCTTAAAACATTTTTAACTGATACTTTGCTATAAAAATAGTCAATGAAATTAAACAGTCTCATGTATAAAATATGATTGGCTGAATCAAAGTCCATGTTCGAGAGAAGACTTAATGTTACGATCTACACAACATTACAACACAAATATAGCTTTAGACCAAAACTGTCATAAAACAGTGTCTCAGACTTCAGGCAGTGTATCATGACCATTACATGTAATAACTTTCTGTGAGGGAGCTTTTAGAGGTGGACGTCTGGTTCCTATCACCACCACTGTGAACAATTCTGACTCAGTAAGTTTCTCTAGAACAGAGCGTTTCACACCAAACCACTCTGTTTACATTTTAACCTTTTAATAATGCAGAAATTGGTAGAGTTCCCATTTAACTACCAGCATAAGACCAATAGAGTTTTGAAATTTACAATGACTGGGACCAATTTTGTGTGAAAAGAATGTCATGCTAGGCCTTCTGGAAGGTCCAGATACAACTGTAGTCCAGCCAGGATTCGGTCAGTCTTTAGAAATGTAAATATTTATCTGTGTTGCAGACAGTGTGACCCCTGGTTCCTATCACCACCACTCATTAACTCTCTGCACAGTTCATATAAAAGCACTCTGAATGACTGGATCATGCAGAAATTTTGAACATTGGTGGAGTTCCCCTTTATTAAAGAGTATCAAGGACCAGAAGAAAGCAGCACCAATCACAGCTGCCTGTACTGCACTGTTCTCAATCAGCAGAGCACTGAAGCGAGACATATCAGGTCACGAGCACAAGCTGACCTGAAAATTGCCTCGTCATTTTCCAGCGTCCTCATATCCGCTAACTTCACATCTGCCTCGTTTACAGGAAGCAGTTTTTAATTAAGAAAGCACCGAGCCTCCTGATTCACCCAAATTCCATCTTCAGCTCTTCCACCACAACCAACAGATGGGACCAGATGAGGATTCTTCACCTCGAGCCTTTCGGAAAACATTACACAACCTCAGGGTTTACATGGGCGTAGAAGAGCCGAGGTCAGGAAGGTTACGTTCTGCAAAAAGCCGACCCGACCAGCTCACTAAACTGACCACGGTGTTTAGCAAACAAATTTAGAGCCATCTGCCGCTCCACCACTGCTTTGGGGAAGTCACCGTACATTGAGCTGAACCGCTAAAGCCTCACCAGGAACGGCCTGGATCCCGTTCATTCGCTTTCTTTCAAAATGCACTGGGGAGTAAAGAAATAGCCGATGTCCAAGCAGTTTCACATCTGCTAACTATGGGGTTCACTAACTCCACCAGATTTCCCCCTCACATGCACTAAAACGCCTACAGACTCTGTTCGACACAAATATATACATCTCTCTCTCTCTCTCTCTCTCTCTCCTCTCTCTCGTGTTGATCAAGACTAATAGTAGCACTGCCAAAATATTTCTGTTGTCACTGAATATTCATATAAATTATGACAACAGACTCTCATGCACAAATTTGGCCAAATGACATTGTGATCAAATTACACGTTTGTTCATGTTCTAATTGGAAATAAGGCAAAGCATCTTCTACAGACGACGAAGTAATAAAATCTACTTATAATGCATTATATTAACAATTCATAATGTATAATAAACATGGCTATAAAGTGTAATTCATTTTTATAAATGTTTATAATCATGTTTTATAATGCTATATTAAAGGCATTATAACATGGTATAAATGTGTTTATAGATGCTTACAAACGTGACATTCATAGAAAGTGTTACCATGAGAGTACATGACTTCCTTTAAATGTTATGGACATTTCATAATACCATATAGTGCATTATAGGTGCTCTTTAAATGAGTAAAATAATCATATCTAACTGGTAATAAAAAGACATATAACTTAGTTCACTAGTACATAGCTTGCAAAAAATAAACAAACAATGTCTCACATCCTATTTTCAACATCTTGAGATAAAAGCTGAAATGGGCAAAGCCATCTAATACCAGCTTGCTAAAGTCACTATATTCCTAAACAAGGCAGCTGCCATTTACTGCTGTTATGTACTGGCTAACAAAGCTCTCTGTGCTGCTAACCATTTAGTTTTGATTGCCACCAGAATAAACAACCTCTATCAAATTCACACTACATAGAAAAGTTATGCTTTCGTATTTTTTTGGTTAATTTTTAAAAACTTGAGGCAGTGCCAGATCCACCAAAAATCAGCCCTTATTCTTTCACTCCAGAGTCTTCTCTGAAGTCCCAGAAGTATTTATACCCAACAAATGTTTACCTGGATGTATGCCTGGATATGTTGTGATGCAGAAAATATGCCAGAAGCTTGTAATACACTGTTAGAAACAAATGGTTCTGTTCAGGTACATTTCTCGTTCATTAAGGTACAAACAGTGTAAATGTTCCCTCAAAGCTCCAACAGTGGTTTTAAGGTCTGATTGTGAACCTTAAATAAGTTTTTCCAGGTGAAAAGTTCGTATTTGTACCTTTTCATAACCGAAAGTTTTAAAACAGAACAGTAAAATAAAAGCCTGGAGACGAGACGGGGTGTGTGGAGTCAGTACAGCTTAGAACATATCATTTCAGTGGATTATGGTTCAGTTATGTTCCCTGACTAAAGGTACTGAGATGAACCCTTGAGAATTCCACCCCAGTGACAAGAGGGGCACTGACCCAGTGACAGTTTAGTACCTTTTTACTGAGAGTGTAGTGTGTTATTGTGCATGACAACATTCATGTTTACAATTTTCTTATGAAGAGATATTATAGCACATTATGGAACCTGGCATTATAAAGTTAAAAGCACTTGTTTATAGTGCTCTGCATGTCACTATAACTGTTTATAAGCAATTATACATGCTAACGCCAGGCATTATAAGGCATTATGAATACAGAATTCATAGGAAGTGTTATTGAATAACTCTTATTTAATGTATTTTATATATATATATATATATATATATATATATATATATATATATATATATATATATATATATACTGAAGAAATCATATATATCTGCTCTTACATTCTTACCTAAATTGTTTTTGATGGTGAAGTTGGGGTTGGTGGGCGTGTCCAGTCTGTAGTGGAAGGTGTGTCCCTGGGCAGGGTTGTCTCTGTCCACAGCACTGATGGTCTCGATCACCTGTGGGTTTCAGAGAGTCAGAGAGATGGAGCTGGTGGACACCGGAGGCCAAAACTCATCTATTACTTCACTTTTGCCATCATGAAGAGAGCCCACTGTGACAGCGGCCCACATAGGATGAAAAATTTGTCCCATTCACTCATGAAATTAGAGACCTTTATCCATGGGGTGCTGTCTTTCACACCGCACTTTTCTGCTCCGGCTCCATCTATATATCTGCCAGCCCAGTTCAGGACAAGCTGTTTTTCTTCATGATCGACGGCTTGTTCAAAAGTAGGACCCTGCCACCGCGCTCATTCTTTTCCTCTCACGGACACGGAGAAAGAGCCAGAGAGCGAGAGAGCGAGAGAGCGAGCCTTTCAGAGACTGACACAAAAATCTGAACAACTGCAATCTCATAATGCAGGTTTGAGCTAGTAGTGTCACAATGAAGTCCTGGTAATGTTACCGAAGAAGGAGAATAAAAATAAAACGTTCGTAAATTTGAACGTAAGTTAATGTCACAAGGTCTTTTTTTTTAATTTTGAAACATTTCTGTTGGTCCATTCATCATAAAGGATGTCCACACTGTAGAAAAGATTTTAATTCTAAGCTACGCTATGTAAGATTTGGAGACCTCTCTGGTGAAAATGTGTAATTGCATGAAAAGTGTGGAGGAACAATTTGTAGCTGTTTTTTGCTTCGGCTCCCTTCGCTGAGCATGAGCCTGATCACTGAAGGAGAATTCAAAGAGACGTGAGTGAATTAACGACTATTGTCAGCATATCTTTATCAGTTCGATGTTGATTTTGAGATCATTTGAGGTCTAAACATCGAGCCCGACCTTCTTTTTGAGACGTGGTGTGAAAAACTGCTGAACCGACACCTCTGACTTTTATTTCAGGCCTTAAAATATGGCGACTCATCATATTTTAGCCTGTTTTTATTCTCTTCACTCTGTACTGACACTTATTTCAATTTTAACAAAGAAATAATTCAGCTTTGAAACAGCAGCTTTACGTTTTTGATCACAATTCAATAAACTACCGTTCAACAAACTCAAAAATTTAGGGCAGCAAAGATACTTACTTTGTTAAAAAAGACTTTTTGGTAGACTTTGTTGGAATTACACTGCCTGACAAATGTTTGAGGACACAGCTCTTTAATGTCTTTTAGGGTGGATTTGGTTTTTATCACAGTAACACTGTTTAAATTAACTCTGCATTTTCATAACATCGAGCTGAATCATAATATTAGCTGCTTTGGGGGCGTGTCTCTTAAACACAACCAGGTCCAGATGTCCAGAGTTAGAAGTGTATGAAGGCTTTTCTGTGTTCCAATGCAGCTTGATATTGTAATAAAAAAGATAGGTCCTACTTTATATTGTGTCTTTAATAACTGTGTAGTTACATGTGAACAACATATGCAACAAAAGGTATCCAATAGATACACTTGTGTAATTACATGAGGCAAAACTGAAGTTGATACACGTGTAAAACACTGCACATCCCTGACTGACAGTTTTCTTTTCTTTGGCCTAAAATTGGTCTAAACACCTGAAAGAAGACATGAAATGCGTCTATTGTGTTTATTAGTGTTTATTACCAAACTAGCACTGTTATAACACTGTTTATACAACAACAAAATAAAAGGTTCTCCAAGGGTCGCTTAGTAAAGACAGTGGTTCGATATAGAACCATGAACACAAAACATTTGCATGCCTAAATGGTTCTTTGCATGGTGAAACGGTTCTTCAGACTGATGGAGAATGTGTTGTATATGGTTCTATCTAGAACTTTTTGGATTTTTTTTTCCTTTCAGTAATGATGTCAAGCTTGTAACAATAGCAGAACCCGTTTGATGTTTCTCAGATTCTCTATCAAGCCGAAGAACCATTTCACCATGCAAATAACTCTTTCAGCATGTAAATTCTTCTTTGAGTGTTCATGGTTCTATATAGAGCCACTATCATTACTAAAGAATCCTTGAAGAACCATCACTTATAGCAATGTAATATTGGCATAAACATGTCTGATATTGTGCTACTCTAAATAAACCTCCTTAGGCTATAATGTGTTAAGTTACCACAGAACTAACCAAGAAAACATGTTAATTTGTGTGAAAGACTATAGAAACTGTCCCTAAACATTTTTCTGGGCTATATATGGTTCTCGGTCGCTGCTCTTACCTGGCCAGGTTTGCCGTTCTCGCACAGGAAGAGCTCCTCATTGACTGGAAACTCGGGCGCGTTGTCGTTTATGTCCAAAACTCTAATAGCCACAATAGCTCTGGAGATCTGACTGTGGTTTCCTAACAGAAGAGCAAACACATAAAGCAGAAAGCAGGTGAATAATGGACACATATACTTACAAGCTATTTCAAATCCCAGGTAAATACAGTGACCCAGTTATTTTCTTTCTCTTTGAATGTCTCTTGTCCGCACCCCCAACCCCGTCTCTCTCCCTCTCCCTCTCCCTCTCTCTCTCTCTCTCTCTCTCTCTCTCTCTCTTTCATTTTCATCCCTTGGGTTGATGGAGAGACAGATGAGACACCACATCAATCTGAGAGGCATTATCAAGTATGCAAAGCAGGACCGCAACAGGGGAAAAAAAAATATCTATCACATTCAAAGTGCTTTTAAAATCCCCTGTACACACACACACGCACGCATGTTTTATACATAAGGTGAAAAAAAAATGAATATTTATGAAACAGTGGCAGCTAAAGACTAAGACGAAAAATAAAAGGCACTTTAATTAGATTAGGTTTTTATTGGAATTATTCATCGTCGCTAATTTACAGTCCCGTTTGAGGACCCCTGTAAATTAATCAGTGTTGCACCCACTGACTTTTATTGAAATGATCCTTTCGTTTGGCCTTTGGAGCGCAACACGGCACCTCCTCTGTGCCCACGGCCACTTTTAAAGAGTCCTTTTGACCTGAGATAATAACGAGGGGACGCACCTACGCCACACGTCGGGCTACATCACAAATAGCGCCTAAGTGGAGTAACTGTGAAGATGAAATCAGGGGTTATGAGGGTGGTCACTGCACTGATTTAGCTTTGGATTTTAGTTACGTCTGTGTGTGTTTTCTCTCTTTTCTCTCCTTTGCTTGTTTGTTTCTCTCGGCCTGTGGATCAAGCTGTCAATCATTATTTCATGGTCACTCAGCAAATCAGAGTGCAGAATTGTGGAAAAGAGAGTTGGAGCCTCCAGTTCAGACGTCATATTTAATCTCCTGCATTTTTTGCGATATTTGCAACTTAGACATACAAGTTTAAGTGACGTTTATTAGTCCCACAAAGGGGAAATTTCACCTCTGAAACACAACATACATACTAGTGAACACACACTAGGGGGCACTGAGCACACTTGCCCAGAACGAAGGGCAGCCCTACCCAAAGCGCCCAGGGAGCATTTGGGGGTTAGGTGCTTTGCTCCATTGCACTTCAGTCACGTACTGTCAGCTCAGGAGACTGAAGCGGTGACCTTCTGGTCACAAGGCTGGTTCTCTAACCTCCAGCCCATGACTGCCCACATATATACATACGTATATATATATTTTTATTTATTTTTTTTTGGAAAGAAATTTTCGAGTTTGGAAAGAGAAGATATTCTCAAAGTGATCTGATCTAACGGATGACTAGCCAGGGCTATCAAAAACATCTAACGATAGTTTAAACATAGTCTAAAATCAAATTTACATGACTCCCCTCTTAGGAATTAATCTTCCAAGACGTGTTTGGTGTCCCAAATTTTCTTCATTACTTTTGGACTGGAGCCACAAGACACATAAGTGATTAAACACCATCAGTTAGCATTGTATAAACTGCATGCCTAACATTTATCATAAGTTGTTAAGTATCTTTGACTTGCTTATATGGTGTCTGATGCTGTATGGCACACTGTTAACTCTAATCATGTACATTGGCATAGTTCAAAATAGTAGCAGCAGCCAGAGCTCTGAACTAATTTAAGGAACAAAAGCATGACCTGGAAACAATGTTATTCTGCTAAGAACAAAAATGCAACCAAGAACACACAAAAAAAAATCCTGCCCACAAGCTCACTTGTTTATTGTTTATTTCATTTAATAAATTAAATAGTCCTTCTCTGTCCTTTCTCATCTCCAGGATTTTAATCAATATAATCAAATGAAATAAGTAAAATTTAAAGCAGAACTGAGGGATCTCCAAAACTGTAAAAAAGCCAAAGAACCTTAAAAAATGGTTCATATAGCAACAAAAAGGGCTCCACTAATGTTATGAGAAAAATAAACCTTTATTAGTTCTTTATAGAACCCATTTTGCTACAAGATATAACAATTTATTTGGACAATGCTGCCCTCCATGTGTTCAGTTCTCCACCCAGAAAAGGACACCATGCTATATATCTCCCCGGACATAAAATTAGTCATCTTGCGTGTTCAAGGTGGTAGTAAATTCAGTTTCCTGCAGATGGCGTTGCAAGAGAATGATTGGGCTATAAATACTTGTGGGGTGTGTGACGGGATTCATAGATTGAGAAAAGGTGGTACAGTGCAGTGAATGTCTCGTTCACTGTGTGGAAAATGGGTCACAAAGCAGATGTTAATGATTGGCAAAAAGGAGTGATTGTATTTGGGCCACAGTGTGAAGGAAGTAGCCGAATTTGAAGATGTATCGAAGCGTATGGTCATATGGGTCGTGGCAAAAATCCTAGTCTACAGGAAATTCTCATCAAAATTGTGGCCAAAAGACGAAACTGACGGACAGGGACCGCCGGCTGTTTCACAGCTCATGAATAAAAATCATTTCCTTGCATAGAGTTCTTTCAGAAATTGGTTCTGAAGAACCTGCATTGACTTCTAAAAGCAATTCTCTGCCTGGAAGCGAAGTGATTTTAATGAGTCACCACCTTAAACATGCAAAGTATTATGTTGGTATTATACTATTTCAAAGCTATGTCAGAGTGCTTGAATGAATCAGTGCTGGGTTAATTGGCTTTCCAAACCTGCTAGTTTACTGCATTAGGCCTACATCCAGCTTGTGTAAGTGGAACACAATTAAATGTTTTTGGGGACGTTGTTTTGGGATTGGAAAGCAAGAACGAAAAACATTAATATATCAGTTCTTGGTGCAAACTGATGGATTTTTAATTCCATTTCTGAGCCCAGAGTTTAGTACTTCCTTCTGTCCATTACTCGTTAGCTATTAGCCTCATAGCTCCACTTCATCTTCATGCTCTTAGGGAGTCTTCCTCCCACTGATACTAGCTTATTAGCGGTCTATATAGACATGATTAAACTGAGTTGAAGCGCTCTATAATAGAGTCTTTAAAGCTGTACGGAACAACAGAAGAGCTCTGTGAGAACCGCACTGCCGAAAATGAAGTTTACTCCTCTGTGGCCAAGTAGGAGGAACAAAGCATTCTTGCTCCAACCATCAGATGTCATAACAGTTTTCGCCCCCAAGCAGTACGCATTACTATTAACGAGTTGTCATGAGCCGTTTTGATACTGATAGGTCCTACAGTCAAACTCTTTGAACCCGTTTCACTCTCATTAATTATATCTCGCCCACTACTAGCGCATATTTTTGTTTGCACTGCGGTTGCCGTCTTCTGTGCGGTGCTGTTTTGGTGCAGGCTCTCTTTGGATCTGAAGGGTTTTGTATCGCAGGGCTGCCGTTCTCGTTCTTGCATAACGCATAAGGATTTCTTGTGTTGCATATACAAATCATGCATGCAGAAAGGAGCTTTCGTACCACAGTCACTGTGGAGCACTGCTGTAATGAATTCAGTCGTCTGTATTAAGCAGAAAAAACACCACACTGAGCTGCTGTCCTTCAAGACTTAAGTCTGATGGCTTTATACATCTATAATATACAATATACACGCATTCAATATATTCAATGTACAGTATTTCATGTTAATATGCTGTATTTTGCTTGAACATTGTTGGCCAATTTATCAGAAACCCCTACCTTGTAGCTCCACCTTGCTGGTGTACAGTTAGAGACTGTAATATTGATGTACAGTTTAATGTACATACTCTAGATCTTCTTCAGTGGTCAGCCTCTGACCATAGAGCAGCTTATGGCTGGATATTTTTGGGTGGTGGTGGACCACTGATATGCTGAAAACAAACCACTACACAAGTAATATCTGGTGGTCCTATAGTGGTCTCTTTTCATTGATTAATGAGGTAGAGGGGGACCAATAAACTGTGGTTATAATTGATAATTATAAACCTATAAGATGTTTCTATGTGGTGGGCATTTCTGATAATATGGTGTAAATGTAGCTACAAGGTAGGTGGACATAACAGGCAACGCCATTCATATAACTATGAACATGTGACTAGTAGTTTCTAAAAAAGTGTCCAGTCAGTGGAGGCGCAAAGTAGATGTTTCCAATAAAGTGGCCAGTGAGTGGAAGCACAAGGTAAATGTTTCCAATAAAGTGGCCAGTGAGTAGAAGTGTAAGGTCAAGGTTTCTAATAAAGTGTCCATTGAGCAGTACTATAAGGTAGGGTTTCAAATAAAGTGACCAGTGAAGGGAAGAAAGAGGTAGGTGTTTCTAATAAAGTGCACAGTGAAATTGATGATGGACTATGGGGCAGGTTGTCCTGTGCTCTATTCAGCTTGTATCAGACTTCATGGGGTGACCTTGAAGGACTTATTTCTTTGAGTGTCACTGAAAGTCACAGGGCTGTTTTAAGTGTCAGACTCAACACTTAAAAGTCCCTGTGATTCTTTCTAAATCTGGTGCTGATGGGAAAAAATATCTAGAGGAAAGTTCTAAACTTTAAATGAATAAATGATATAAATATGATATGATATAAACTGTTATGGACTGTACGTTATAGTACAAATATTAAAAACATATTTCTTTACTTTAGCTTTTAACTAGGTTTTTTATTGTTTCCTTTGTTTTTACTGGAATGTTACAATTACTTTTACTTTCTTGTTAGTTGTATATTTATTTATACTTTTATCTTCTGCTTTTTACTTGTAATTATTATTAATATATCTCTTTTCTGCTATTTATTTGTTTATTTAATTTTTGATTATCTTTTTTTTCCTCTTCCTTCTTTTTCCTTTGTATTGTGAAGAACTTTGAGCTGCATTTTTAATGTATGAAAGGTGCTACATAAATAAGTCATTATTATTATTAGTTGTTTATATATTCATACTTGTACATACTTGTTAATACTGTTATATTACATGGACAAGACCCCAAAAATGATCTTAGTATCTACAAAGCTAAAGTGGACTATCCAAATAAAGTGTTACCCAAAACTGTCTCCAAAATGGTAAATTTACAGTAGAAGGAAAAAGCACACTTTACTTCTAATGTAAGTCAATGGAACCAGACTTTTCCCAAGTCATTTTGGGCCACTTCTTTTGGTCCATTCATCATGAAATTTACACACAATATAAAGGGCAACAGGCATTAAATTATGTCAAAAAATGATGGAGAAATGAGGCTTTGCTGCATACATATATACACGTCGTTTTTCAGTTTTTTACATAATTTGAAAATGCCTGTTGCCCTTTATATTGTGTGTAAATTTCATGATGAATGGACCAAAAGAAACAGCCCAAAATGACTTCACTTCCAGGCAAAAACTGATAGAACAAACATCCTTAACTTTTAATGTACATTAAAGTCACAATTTTTATGCTGTATGTTTTGCATATATTTTGCATTTATTCATATATCTTGTTTATCACATGTGATTTCTGAATGAGTGTCATTGTCTTGTTTATTTATTTATTTATTGAGTTTGTTAGTTACTTGGTTAGATCACAGCTTATGCGGTCAGCTGATGGCTATCAGTTATTTTTTGTTTATAAATGCTTTAACGCCTCAGTCAGAACACGTCCATTCAGACAAACTGCAGTTAAAGTTCTGTTCATTTTGCATTGGCGAGTGTGGGTCTCACTATAACTGCTGGCGATATGGTTCATTTTGGTCATTATCTGTATAGATACACCCTACAAATTCTCTAAAATGAGGACAATTCTATCTACAGACTCCATTTACAGCAGCGTTCTTTTGTCATTAAGTGATATAATACGTTACTAATTGTGTGCTCTGTATCTGCTGCTAATTGTAATGAACAGTGTTTTCTCGCTCTAAGCTGTGAAAGAGAGACAAGACGATTTTGGAATAACTATCACACACAACACCTCAGGATGTTAATTTGAGTTTTATCACCCAAATACAGTTCCGTATAGCATTCAGAATGCAAATAATGCTTTACATATGGTTAGTGCTGTTTGTAGTTCTGCTCCATGGATTTTAATTAGCGACTCAGTTTTCTGGATCAGTTTTAAGGATGTTTCTTTTATCTGTGATTCAGGCTGCCATGCTTGCAGACAACTCTGGTTGAGTGAAAACTGTTTGTTTGATGCATCTTAATACTGTATGTTACAGCAAAACAACCTGGCTGTTTGGGTAAATTGTGTCATCATGTTGCCAAAAAAAGTAGCAATCATCAAAAGTAGCATAGTTCGAATGCGTGGATGTTTATACAACAGTTAGTTCCGGCCACGCAAGCTGATTGGTTGAGAAGGGCTCTAACCGTGCTGATATTTCACCATATTTTCACAAACACTGTATCACTCCACTGAGATGCCGTTGCTAAGCTGTAGGAGACACTTGAGCCGTTCGAATGTTTTTACTTCTTACTTTGCCACAAACAGAAAATGGACACTTTTAAGATCACATTTGACCGACAGACAATTTGGTCAGACTCTGAAGATGAGACGACACTAAATTCCCAAACTGTCATCACCACTGAGCAGCTTTTCAGTCGGCAGCTGTGACAGAAGAACAGCTGAACAACCTGGAATCAGCCAGAAATGAACCCAATACCATTCGCCAAACTAAATGGGCTGTAAGATGCTTTACAGACTGGCTGGAACAAAATAACATTAATACTGATCTGGCAAAAACTGACAAAACTGAGCTGAACTTGATATTGCGGCAGTTTTATGGCTCAGTCTGATTTGGTCAGACTCTGAAGATGAGACTACACTAAATTCCCAAACTGTCGTCACCACTGAGCAGCTTTTCAATTGGCAGCTGTGACAAAAGAACAGCGCGACAACCTGGAATCAGCCAGAAATGAACCCAATACCATTCAACAAACTAAATGGGCTGTAAGATGCTCTACAGACTGGCTGGAACAAAACAAGGGGCTGGAGAACGAACTGCCAGCTGTGCAGCGAGTGGGCGGAGTTTGTTACTCTGACGTAGCAACAAGCTGCTTGTTAAGGAACTATAATTTGGTGAAGGAACTGCGAACATTAAAACATATTAAATGCCGCGTTCACGGCCCAGTTTATTAATTTATTACTTTATTTATTAAACTGTTAAACTCGAGGAGTGTGTTATCGCGAATAGCATCATAGCCTTGATGTTATTTCGCAATAACACACTCCCTCTAATATTCTATTGCTTAAATAGCACACATCATTGTATGCAAAACATATATATTTAGTACTTTGCAGAGACTCTTCATTTATTTTATTTCCAGTCAAAACAACAATTTAAGCATGTTGTTCACTTTTTGGTGTCAATAAAAGCAAATATTTAACAGAAAATGACACAACAGATAAATAATTTCAGTGTTCAGTGAGTCTCTCTTTCCCTTTATTCCAGCTTCCATTCTTTTAAGCAGACTCACTTTAAGTTCCTCAAAGAATCTGCAGACACACCTCCAAAGTTCAGTCTTAGAAGCTGGTTGATCTTTTTCTGAAGTAATCAAACACATTCAGTGGTGTTGAGGTCTGGACTCTGGGGTGGTCAGTCCACTGTTCGGCTTCTTTGTTTGATGTGTCCGTCTCCTTTTCTCAGTGAGGTTCTTCTTGATCAGCTACACATCCTTTCAGACCCACAGCGCTGAGTCGTCTTCTCACAGTGGAAGGATGGACAGAAACACCTGTGGATGTTTTCAGATCTGAAGCAGCTTGATTTTCTCCTCTCTCTCAAAGATGAAAGCTTTAAGTGCTGTTTATCTGATGGGGGCAGTTTTGGGGTCCACCAGGTCTTGCATGGTTCTTGGGAATCCCCTTTCATCTTTATCATTCAACAATTGTAATCGTTTTTCATTTATTTGTCTTTAACTTGTCCCTTATGAAAGTGGATGGTGATCTAATTTTCATAGAAAAATCTCCTGAAAATGGTTTAATGGCTTCTTTGACTGGAAATTAAATCAATGAAAGGGGGTCTCTGACTTCTGCACAGTACTGCATATATGTGGATATGAATGAATGTACTTATGTATGTATGTATCTATGTATGTATGTATGTAAGTATGTATGTATTTGAGTGAAGCTTGACTTACGGACTTCCGTGGCGGTCACTGTGATGTTGTGCCAGGTATCTGTCTCTCTGTCCAGCAGCTTGGCTAACGTGATCCTTCCATCATCAACATGAATATTGAACTGCCTCTCCAGATCCGTGTGCCGATCGATAGAATACCTGCCGAAGGAAAAAGGGAGTGTAGGACAAAAAGGAGGAGAAACAAAATTTTGCATTCAGTTCACAACTAAACAAATAAACCCATAACATACTGCAGATGCCTCAGTTGTTTCATATGCATTAGGAGACTTCAGTACACTCTTAAAAACATGGTTCTTCAAGGAGTCTTTAGTAACGAAAATGGTTCTATATAGAACCCTGAACACTCACAGCCCCCATTTTGCATGATTAAAAGGTTCTTTACATCATGAATGTGTTCTTCAGACTGATGGACAATGTGCTGTAGATGGTTCTATATACTTTTTTGAAAGGGCTCTATGTAGCACTTCTATTGTTACAGTGTCAACCCTTCTCAAGCTATACTCTATAGCATATTCATGCACATTTTCCATCAATCTGAAGAACCCCTTCATGATGCAAAGAACCCTTTAATCATGCCAAGGGTTCTTTAAGTGTCTATAGTTCTATATAGAACCATTTTCTTTACCATAGCGCACCTTTACCTGAGAGACGACAGAGTTATTAATGTTGTTTGCTATACTTATGTAATGTAATTACATTGTCACATATGTTTAATTACATAGTTATGAAACTCAATTCAGTTTACATTTATTCTACACTCTGCATTGACAGATTAGAGTCTGTATTGTTTGTTCAGATATCAACAAATGACAAAATCATGGCAAAACTGTAAAGGATTGTTTTTCTTTCTGCAAACCAGGAACTTTTTCATCAAACTCACATCATAATTAAATATCTCCTCTTTAACTCACACATGGTACCAGTTGAAAGTTTTCTACATAATAACTCCACTCGTTTCAATGAGCTACAACCGAGGAATAAGTTGTGTCAAATCACACCATATTGTGTTAAATAGCTGCAACTTCTAAGGAATAACAATATATGATATTGAGCAAAAATGAGTTATGATGCCATGATGTTTTTTTCAAATAATGAGTTTTGTTTATTCTAGCTTAGTTCTGTTTGGTTTAGTTTACATTAGTTCATTTACAAAACACTATGACTTGCACCCCAAAGACTGAATTTTGCAGAACATACAAAATATACCACAACATATTTGAAATAATGAATATATAAAAATATATACACAGGTTCACCAAACTATAATGAATTAAACAGCCTGATGCTACATGGAATAATCGAGTTTCTAAGTCTACTGGTTCTTGCGTGCACAAGCGACAGCGGGAGGTTTTTCCACTCTTGTTGCCCGGTTCTTTCACTCTTATTGAGCGGATGAAGGTCATGTAAAGGATGATTAGTCTGCTGCATGACTTTTATCAGTTTTACGCTGACCTGCTCCTGCTGTTTCTGTAGATGTGGAAGATGCAGAGGAATCTTATGAAACCGTGTCATGATTCTGATGGCTCTTTTCTGAATGCTGTCCATAGCTGCTCCCTGTTTTTCTGAGCAGCCCCCCCCAGCACTCCCAGACTCTAGGAGTGGCCTAATAAGGAACCCCATTTCTTGCCAAGACAGTGTGGAAATGCAACTGCTTGGACACCTTTTTCACTGCCTCTTCAATATGAGAATCTCCACTAAGTTGATTGTCCAGATAAAAGCCCAGATATTTTGTCTTAGTTTCAACAGTTGGGGAGGATCTTTAGAGAAATGCACTCATCTTAACTGACTTCTTGCCACTGAGGACCATATTATTTGCCACTCCTCCAGCTGCTTAACTTCACTTTACATTGAGGGGTCACTGCCAGTTTGGAATTTTCAAACTGGAACGTGCTCTGGGATTAGTTCTAGTTCTTCAAAGTTTTTTAAGGCCGTGGTCAAATATAAAACCATAACAACTCAACAATCTGTTCTCTACGATCGAAAGTGTTGTGCATGTAGTTTTTCAAAAAGCCTTTTTAAAAAATGATCCTGTTTGACACCAAAAAAGTCAAAGAACATTTTTTTAGTAAAGGAGAGGTTCTTTTTAGAACCATTCTACCAGAGTTCTACCAGAAAGTGTTCTTCTTTTACTAAGATTTCAGGTTTGTAACATAAGAACAACATTTTTTGTTGCTATAGTGAACAATTAAAAAAAAGGTTCTATCTAGAACCATATACAACACATTCTACACCAATCTGAAGAAACTTTTCACCAAAGAACCATTAAAGATGAAGCGATTTTACATATAACATTAAAGATAACCATTACCTTCACTAAAGAACCCTTACAGAGCCATCTTTTTCAAGAGTGTACTGTAAGGAAACCTAAAAACCTTTTTGCTAATCATGTAGTTATTAATTAACTAAGTAGTAATAATCAGTTAGTTACCAGATATTTGTTTTATAAGGCTTAATGAGGACATAATAATGAACTTTTTTTTAAGATGTTATGCAAAAGATTAGAATAAAAAATCAACATGCTCTGGGCAATGCTTAATTTACTCTAGTTATTACCTATTACAGCAGTAATGGACAGACAGTTACCAGCTAGGGGCTTAATAAGAATTAAAAGAGGGTATAATATTGTTCTCTAAAATATGTGATTATGGTGTTAAAGAAACAAATAAAAGTGCTCTGGAAAATGTTAATTTGGCCTAGTTATTGCTTAATAAAGTAGTAATGATCAGACAGTTACTGGCCACTGGATTTTAAAGACTTAAAAATTGCTGTGCAAAAGGTTATGATGATATATAATATGATATACACAAACAAAAGTGCTTTGAAAAATGATAATTCAACCTAGTTATTGCTTAATATCAAGCCACATATTTAGCAATTACTGGTTTTATAAAGCATAAGATGACTGAGTGCATCGCAATGGCATCTTTCCTTTGGCAAACTTTCCACATCTGAAATTCCAAAATTACAGAAGTCTATTTAAATATCAATTTCATCCCTCCATCCCTGATGATAATGAACAACAACTTCCTGTTAAACTGAAAGGGGCTTTTGAGACCCAATCAAAGGCAGAACGTAAACAGGTAAAGAAATAAACAATTCATTGGCCTAGATTACAGATCCGTGCAATCCACTCGACCGTGACATCACAACCCCTGCTAGGAGCCGATGTAGATGTTGCGGCTCGGAGCGAAGGTCCGGGAGGACCCGCACACACATACACACATTCACAAACCCACACTCGCAGCTAGACAGCACGCCCCACCTGGGATTAGTCTCCAGGAGGCTGAGCGTATTTCAGTCAAGCTCTGACAGTTTCACGTACCACTGAGAGACAAACCCTGAAATGTTCTGCTACGTGTCAATCAAACTGACAAAGTTACAGTGGGAAATCATGAAGGAAAAGAAAAAGAAGAATAGCAGCATGGAAGGCGAAGGCAGTGGATGTTTGTTTAGGGCCAGCAGGAGAGAAACATATGTCAAGTTTTTAAATACCGCTCTCGCTGCTTAATAGCTACAGAAGATAACACATATACTCTAATTACGTGTCGCACTTGTGCTTAATTGCCAGACTCAAGGTCAAATTTCAAAGGCTGAGTGCAGACTTTATGATTAGGCAACAATTTCTCGACACCATTAAAGGTTTCTCATTGCCAAGCCGCTCCTGTCTGAGGCTGAAAACAAAATAAGCATAGTAATAGGCCTTTAAAGATGAAATGAAACGCTTAATTAGTCTTAACATCAACAAGCAGAGCGGCTCCTCTTAGTGCATTTTTTAGATGTTAGTTCGCGCAATTACAAAGAAGCTCTCGCTGTTGCCACTCTCTGCTGGAGTCGGTTCATCATCAGCCTTTTAAAGGATGGGAAAAAAAAGGAGTAGCAAAAAACTAATGAAAGTATTAAACAAACAAAAGTCATTATTATTACTTTTACTCACAGGTTTTTTTCTCATATGGTTTCTAGTGGAAGATTTATGTATTCACTGTATGCAGAAGCAAATCTTTAAAGTGAAAATAAATACACAGTTAAAAAAAATAGCCATTTTCTGCAAATGTTAATGAACAGTTTCCTTATATTTAATTAACTTGAAGAAAACATATTAGTAGTTATGGCATGTGCAAAAGTTCGGACATGCTTCCAGTTGCAAAGTCTCAGAAATTAATTAACTCACAATGCCTAAATTGACTCATTAGGTCTGGTTAGACAGGTCAAGAACATTCCTGTCATTAGGAACCGTCAGCTGATGATGATTCCAGAGTGTAATAAATTCTCTGACTCATCAAATCTTGGGCAACTCTCAACAACCATGTGCTCTTATAAGCAGCTGGCTGATCTGAAAATGAAGCTAATCAATGCCTAAAAAAAAACAGTGGGAGGCAACATCTAGATAAGCCAAAGGCATTTTGGAATCACAGTCACCAAAGGTACAATATATGGCCAAAAATATATGGACATATCAATTTTTGGTTTTTCAGCCACACCCACTAACAGGTGTGTCAAGTCAAGCAGCCGTAGAGAAACATGGGCAGTAGAATGGATTGTACTGAATATCTCATTAATGTAAACTATGGCACTCTGGAGTGATGAATCTGGCAGTTTGACTGACAATCTGGTTGTGACGGACGCCAGGAGAGTGTTTAGATAGTGTTCACAGTGCCAACAGTAAAGTTTGGTGGAGAAGAGATGATGGGCTGGGCTGTTTTTCAGGGTTTGGGCCCTTTAGTTCCAGTGAAGGGTGATGTTGATGCTGCAGCACAAAGATATTTTACACAATTATCTGCTTCCAGCTTTGTGTCAGCAGTTCGGGGAAGAGCCTTTCCTGTTCCAGCATGACTGAGCCCCTGTGCACAAAGCAGCTCCATAAAGACATGGAATGACCAGTTTGGTGTGGAGGAACTCCAGTGGCCTCACACAGTCCTGACCTCAACCCCACTGAACACCTTTGGGATGAACTGGAACGTTGATTGTGAGCCAGGCCCTCTCGTCCAACATCAGTGTCTGACCTCACAAATGCTCTTTTGACTGAAAGGGCACAAATTCCCACAGACTCTCTCCAAAATCTTGTGAAAAGCTTCCCAGAAGAGTAGAGGCTGTTCTAGCCGCAAAGGGGGGGGCAACTCCATGTTAATGCCCAGGTGTCC